CCTCCCCTCCCCAGGTCCCTCTCCCCGAGGCGCCAGCTGCTTCCTGCCTGCGTCACGCTCTCCTCCGGAGGCCTCACCTGCCAGTCTCAGGGTCCCATCACCGGGCGGCACTGCCCTGGGGCAGACCTCGCTGATCCCGAGTTCTCATTACATCTCAGAGTCTCTGACGCCCCAAAGATCCGGGGTAGAGACTGCTCCTGGGTGGAGTGGGGGATGCCCACTGCGGGGGACGGAGCCTCGTGGTCACAGCGCCTCCCTCCTCACGCACACTGGGCCTCCTTGGTCCACCTTTGGACTCTTCGTGGCCTCACAGGCACCCAGCTGGGGCTTCCCCGTCGGCCGGTGCCTGAAGAGCTTGCCTCTCTGAGGGGTGACTTCGCCAGCAGAGTAGGGGCTCTGGGGGGCCGAGGGCAGCCCAGACACCCAGCTTTGGAGGTGGAAACAGCTGGGTTCCCGGCCTCTTCCAGCCCATAAGCTGAGGCAAATGGTTACCGTCCACCTGTGGGTGGGACAGCGCTGTGCCGGCCAGGCGCCCAAGGATGAGTGAGCACCTCCCTCCTGCGCCTGGGAGGGCGAGCCAGCTACCTCTGCCTCCTCCTGCCTCCTGGGAGACCCAGGCCCAGAGGAGGAGAGAATCGCCCTCCTGGAATCTTTCACCTCCCCCTCTGTTGCTGCTTTCTAACTGCGACAAGCCTCTCCCAACGTGAAAACACACAGCCCCTCTCTCTCCTGCCCTTGGCGGCCACTCTTCCTGGAAAGATGTCCCCTCGTGGTTCTGTCCATATCCCCATCTGCCCACCCTCTTCCCCCCTCCAACCTGGCCTCCACCCCATCATCCCACCAGACAGCCCCCTTTAATGTCGCCAGTGACCTCCATGTCACCAATCCCTCATCTTGCTACACGTCTAGGCAGCACTGGACACTTGTCCGGTGGCCGCCAGGAGTTCTAGAAGGGCCTGGGCTCCCCCCCACCCTCCGCCTCCTGCCCCCACCTGGGTCAGCCCCCGCTGCCTCCTGTGCAGGCTCTGCTTCCTTCGCTGGGCTGGTTGCTCGCCTTCCCATGATGCAAATCACAGGAAAGTGTCTTCCCCAACCTACAGTTTGCCTGGAGTCTTCCTCCTGCCCACACCTGGGCTCCCAGCTCAAACACCAGCCACCCTTTGTCCTCCTCTTCTTCCTTTTACCTTTGTTCAAGGTGACACATGTCCCTAGTTGAGTAAGTCCAATGGTTCTATGTGGCTTTCGCTGCAACAGAAATACCTCCTAACTTCTGAGTCCACTCCCATTTCTCCTGCCGTCTTGCTGTGTTTCCGATGAATGTGCTAATGGTGCTGTCACGTGGTTAGGTGGCATCTTTGACACTTTCTAGGTGGCATCTATTGACATCCCACTGTGAGAGATGTAGATGGACACCAGAGGGAAGTTTGGAACTTCAGGAATTGGAGAAAAGGCAACAGAAATGATAAACATGCATAAATAGACTTTTTCTCCTCATAAGTTCTTTTTTAAAAAAATGTATTTTTATTGATTTCAGAGAGGAAGGGAGAGGGAGAGATAGAAACATCAATGATGAGAATCATTGATCGGCTGCCTCTTGCACACCCCCTACTGGGGATCAAGCCTGCAACCTGGACATGTGCCCTGACTGGGAATCGAACCATGAGCTCCAGGTTCATAGGTTGGTGCTCAACCACTGAGCCATGCTGGCTGGGCTAGTTTTCATTTTAAAAAACTCTTGATGATGTTGAACATCATTTCCTCAGTTGAAGAAGGCATAGATGCCATTAAAACACTGCATTTTGAAGCAGCTGGAAGATTTGTTGTTGTTTTTTCTTTTCCTTTTTGTCAATCCTCACCTGAGGATGTTTCCATTGATTGTTAGAGAGAGTGGGAGGGGGGATAGAGAGAGAAACATCAATGCAAGAGAGACACATCAATTGGTTGCCTTCTACACACACCCTGGTCAGGGTCAGGGATTGAACCTGCAACCCAGGTACACACCCTTGACTGGAAACCAAACCTGAAACCAAACCTTTGGTTTGCGGGCCGCTGCTCTAACCGCTGAGCATACCGGCCAGGGCGGAGGGCATTTTTATTAAAGTGTGACAGCATGTGGGAAAGTGTGCATCAGCGTACAACATCAATCAACACAAACCGCACACACTCGTGTCACTGCACGAAGCAGCCTCTTCTGATTATTACCCATCCTCCACCCTCCTCTTGACTTCTAACACCAAAGGTGGCATTTTAAAGTCTAGAAAATGCAGCTTAAAAATATGTGTCCATCTCCTCCTGAAAACGGAGGTCCTGGCAGCACTCACCTGGGTCCGGGTGCCAGGCGCAGCAACCATCCAGGTGCTCTCCAGCTGAGCAAAGTGCCCAGCTCCCCCTGGTGGCTAATTCTGGAACCTTCACCCACTGCCATAACCTGCCGGGTCCCTAGGGAATGGCTGGTCCTCTACTGAGGGCTATTCACGCTATTTCTGAATTTTCCGTATTAAAAAATACTGGCCCCAGCCAGTTTGGCTCAGTGGATAGAGCACTGGCCTGCAGACTGAAGGGTCCCGGGTTCAATTCCGATCAAGGGCACATGCCCAGTTGCAGGGCAGCACTCACCTGGGTCCGGGTGCCAGGCGCAGCAACCATCCAGGTGCTCTCCAGCTGAGCAAAGTGCCCAACTCCCCCTGGTGGCTAATTCTGGAACCTTCACCCACTGCCATAACCTGCCGGGTCTCTAGGGAATGGCTGGTCCTCTGCTGATGGCTAATCACGCTATTTCTGAACTTTCCGTATTAAAAAATACTGGCCCTAGCCAGTTTGGCTCAGTGGATAGAGCACTGGCCTGCAGACTGAAGGGTCCCGGGTTCTATTCTGATCAAGGGCACATGCCCGATTGCAGGCTCAATCCCCAGGAGCGGGTGTACAGAAGGCTGCCAATTGATGATTCTCTCTTATCATTGACTAGAGGCTCAGTGCACAAAGATTCATGCACTCGGGGGTGCTCCCCAGGGGATCGGGCCTAAGCTGGCAGTCAGACATCCCTCTGGAAGCCCGGGAGCCCTCACAGGGAGCAGGCCTAAGCCGTTAGTCAGACGTCCTTGGCACTGCCAAGGAGGCAGAGGCTCCCACTACTGTCGCTGAGCGGAGCTCCCCCTGTGGGAGTGCACTGACCACCAGGGGGCAGCTCCTGTGTTAAGCGTCTGCCCCCTGGCGGTCAGGGCGTGTCACAGCGACTGGTCGTTCTGCTGTTAGGGTCAATTTGCATATTACCCTTTTTTTATATAGGATGCTACTCTCTCCCTCTGAAATCAATACAAATATATTTTTTAAAAATACTGTACACAGTGTTTCCATGTAAATGTGTGTGTGTCCAAGAGAATCGGAACATAACCGATTCTGTTTGTAGCAGCATCACTCATAAAACCTCCTGTGTTGAGTGTCTGCCCCCTGGTGGTCAGGGCGTGTCACGGCGACCAGTTGTTCTGCTGTTAGGGTCAATTTGCATATTACCCTTTTATTATATAGGATGTTTCTCTCTCCCTCTGAAAGCAATACAAATATATTTTTTAAAAATACTGTACAGTGTTTCTATGTAAATGTGTGTGTGTGTGTGTGTGTCCAAGAGAACTGGAACATAACCTTGTTTGTAGCAGCATCACTCATAAAAGCCAAAGGTTCCAATGTCCACCTCCTAATGAATGGGTGAACGTCCACACAATGGTCTCATTTGGCCATTAAAAGGAAGGCAGTGCTGCCCGGCCGGGTGGCTCAGCTGATTGGAGCATCGTCCTGTGCACCAAAAGGTTGCAGGCTTGATTCCTGGTCAGAGCACATACCTAGGTTGTGGGTTCGATCCCCAATTGGGGCATTTCTGGAAGGCAGCCAATCGATGCTCTCTCTCACATCAATAGTTCTCTCTCCCTTCCTCCCCCCTCGTTAAAATCAGTAAGCATATCCTCCATGAGGATTCAAAGAAAAAGGCATGAAGGATTGACCCTGCCACAACACAAGGAACCTTGAACGCATGGCGCTCAGTGAAAGAAGCCGAACACAAATGACCGCGTCGCAGGACTATTTATACGAAATGGCCAGAAAAGGCCAATCCATAGAGACAGAAGATAGATGGTTGCCAGGGGCTGGGAGGAGAGGGGGTGAGATTACTGAGTGTGAGGTTTCTTTTGGGGATGATGAAAATATCCTCCATGAGGATTCAAAGAAAAAGGCATGAAGGATTGACCCTGCCACAACACAAGGAACCTTGAACGCATGGCGCTCAGTGAAAGAAGCCGAACACAAATGACCGCGTCGCAGGACTATTTATACGAAATGGCCAGAAAAGGCCAATCCATAGAGACAGAAGATAATGGTTGCCAGGGGCTGGGAGGAGAGGGGGTGAGATTACTGAGTGTGAGGTTTCTTTTGGGGATGATGAAAAGTTTTAAAGTAGATAGTGGTCATAACCCACGGACACAGACAATAGGGTGGTGAAGGCCTGGGGTGGGGGACGGGGCAGGTTAGAAGGGGTCAGTGGGGAAAAACCAGATACTTTCAGCAATATTTAATTTCTTAAAAATAAAAATAAAGTAGACAGTGGTGATGGTTGTACAACTCTGGAAGTATACTGACAACCAGCAAATTGCACACTTTGAGTAAACTGGGTGTGCAAATTCCCTCACTAAAACTTCCCGTCGGCCCTCTGCATTCAAAAATTCCCAAATGGGGATGAAAACTACTGTTTTCTAGCTTCAGGGGTTGAATTAGCAGATCATGGGTGAGGAGGCCAGTGGTATGCATTGCTCCACACCATCTACACTAATAAAAGAGAAACATGGTAATTAGCGTACGACCGCTACCCTTTTCATTGGCTAATCAGTGAGTATATGCAAATTAACTGACAACCAAGATGGCGGCTAATTTGCATATGTC